CGCAGAATCTCAAAATCTCAGAATCTCAGAATCTCAGAATCTCAGAATCTCAGAATCTCAGAATCTCAGAATCTCAGAATCTCAGAATCTCAGAATCTCAGAATCTCAGAATCTCAGAATCTCAGAATCTCAGAATCTCAGAATCTCAGAATCTCAGAATCTCAGAATCTCAGAATCTCAGAATCTCAGAATCTCAGAATCTCAGAATCTCAGAATCTCAGAATCTCAGAATCTCAGAATCTCAGAATCTCAGAATCTCAGAATCTCAGAATCTCAGAATCTCAGAATCTCAGAATCTCAGAATCTCAGAATCTCAGAATCTCAGAATTTCAGAGTCTCAGGATTTCAGAATTTCAGCGTCTCAGGATTTCAGAATTCCTAAATTTCAGAATCTCAGAATCTCAGAATTTCAAGATTACAAATTTGCAGATTTTTTGACTTTCGAAATTTCAAAATTTCAGAATCTCAGAATCTCAGAATCTCAAAAGTTTGTAATTTCAGAATTTCAGAATCTCAGAATCTCAGAATCTCAGAATTTCAGCGTCTCAGGATTTCAGAATTTCAGCGTCTCAGGATTTCAGAATTCCTAAATTTCAGAATCTCAGAATCTCAGAATTTCAATATTACAAATTTGCAGATTTTTTGACTTTCGAAATTTCAAAATTTCAGAATCTCAGAATCTCAGAATCTCAAAAGTTTGTAATTTCAGAATTTCAGAGTTTCAGAGTCTCAGGATTTCAAAATTTCGGATTTTTAGAATTTCAGAATTTCTAAATTTCAGAATTTCGGATTTTCAGGTTTTTCGAATTTCAGAATCTCAGAATTTCAGAATATTCGTTTTTCAAAATCTAAAAAGTTCGAAATTTCAGATTTTCAGAGTTTCCCTTTTTCCGATTTTTAGATATTCAGAATTTTAGATTTGTAGATTTTCGCAATTTTAGAATTTCAGAATCTCATAATTTCATGAAATTACAGATTGATCTCATTTTTCTGATATTTTTCAATGAAAATTTCATTCCGAACCAGTTTTTGGCATTTTCCAAATTCCGGCTATTTTTTTCGTTCCGAAAATTCTATAACTGACAGTTCTTTTCCCTTATGTAAATATCAATTTTTATAGTTTACAATTTTTCAGCGGTTTCTTCCTAAGAAAAATGTCCAGTCCCCATAAATTACCAGCAGTAAGAAGAACATTATTGGCGACCGGATGCCATGCAATGGTGTTAACTCTCTTCTGATGTCCGGTCAACTCAACAGCTGGCTCCGAGAGATTTCTGCTCAATCCTCGATCCGGAATCACCCAGACTTTACAAGTTGTATCTTCGGAACACGACGCAATCACATTGTCATTGAAAGGACTCCATGCAACTTCAAGGCACGGCGCTTTGTGAGCATCAACAAATGGGTAGTCCTTGTCAATACGGCCAATCTGAAAAAAGAAACATTATCATCAATAATGTTCACTTTTTTTGTGTTCAATGACCCCTTAGATAACTGGTGTTGTGACGAAAAGAAGAAAAAACAAAAATAAGAAAAACTGGGGAAGGAAGAAAAGAATAACAAGCACACATGTCGTTAGTGGAAGCATATGTGGGAGTAAAAGATTAGAAATGGATACCTTATTGACTGGAATAACCATGAATGGACCACCGGCACCGCGATTGATGAATGCGATGAATTTGGGATTGACATCGCAGAACAGAGAGTCCCAAGTGATTTCTGTTACCTGGAAGTATTAAAATTAAAATTTGAAAGGCTAATGTCTATTGGCTTAATATTGAATTTGGGATCTATAATATTTCAATGAAGATAATAATTTATCTTTTTATCAGAAAAAAAATAATAAAATTTGTGTCCTTTTGTCAATCAGAAACAGTGAAAATCGATGTTCAGTTTCTCTTGAAGTTTGAATAAAAAATCCGTCCACTTTGAACTAATTTATCTCGGTTTCTGAAACAGATATCACAAATTTTTGTTAGTTGGCCACATTTTGATATCTTTTACAGGAGAAAAGATATATAAACTCAAAGTTAAGAGGTCTGGAGCCGACCGCATAGCTCAGCTTGTAAGCGTTGACTTTTCAACTTTGAGCCCTTATATCTCATTTCCTGTAAAAGATATAAAAGAGTGGTCAACTGACAAAATATTTTTAAAACTATGAAAAACATGTTATCGATTGACAAAATTTTGATATCTCGCATAGGCATTGAGATAATTAAGCTTACACTTGACAGTGTGGGGAGTCTTTTATTATTGGTTTTACGGTTTTTAAAACGACAGACAATTAAAAAATTTATTTGTTTGATCAATGATCCAAAATGCGTTATAAATTTGAAAAACATATACTGAGAAAGGTAATTTTTCAGGTATAGTAGGATTACTGTAGTTTTTGAAGTTTTGAGTCCCATCCAAAATTCATGTGGTTTTTAAAAAAAGTCAATCACCAAACTCTTTTCTTGATCCTAACATCAGAATTTTTATATTGATCCTAATACTTTGAGAATATTTGCATCCATAAATTACATCTGATTCTCTTTAAAAGTTCAAATCGAACTAACATACCCTAATATCAGACATACAACTTTCATGTTTGACTGGTTTACAGAATACATGCCGAAATTTACTCTGTCTCACAATTTGAGCCATTTTCCCAACCTGAAAATGATTCAAAATTCAAGATCAAAATTCGAATATTGCAACTTCCAGTTCGAAATTTTCGAAAAAAAGATAAAATCGAAACGACAAGAGAGTTTGAGGAGTAAATATGCAAGGATTTGCGGGTGCCCGAGATGCTCTCTCCCGCGGGCAGCGACTCCTGCTGCTGCTCTACGCCCCAACTCTCTCTCCGAGCTTCCGATGCTCTATTACCCTTCAGTTGCCCCCATCTCCTTCCCGTGTTACACTGCTTTTTTGTTGGCTCCCGTCGGCAGATTTCAACTGTCGTCTGCGTATATTACGTCTAGATATATATTGTTTAGTTGAAATCCTCAATTCCTCCCGGGAGAAGCTTTGGCAAATCCGTTGATAACGAGAGGAGAGAGCCAAAGGGAGATGAAGAACACCCACTAGCATAAACACACAGAGGAACTGGAAAGTGCACGAACGCAGGAGGGATCCTTGACGTTGCGAAAAGTGAAGCGTGTGAAGTAAAACCAGTTTCCCACCCAAAACTAAAAAAAGCTAAACTTTCGAGTAAACTATTCTTTCTTATTGTTTCTTCTATTTATTTACTGTGATGCCTCCTCCTACTGTTTGCGAGTAGTTTTCTCATGACCGCATCCAAATGTGCTAAAAAACCATGCGGCAAAACCGTGCCAGGGTTGCAATTTAGGCTCCGCCCCCGACTCCGCCCACTTTTCTCCGGAGTTTTTATTCCCCGGAGTTTTTTTTTTCCCCCGGAATGTCCGAGACTCCACCGATTCCGAGGGCATCTCTACCGTAAATTATTGCACAATCAGGTTGTTCACTTTGCTTTATGTTGTGCCTTTTTTTGCATAATTGTTTTTGTACATACCATGAGTATCGATCTATAAATCAGTATTACTTGAATTAAAGTCAAAAAAATTTTATTTTACAGCTGTAAAATTCAAAAATAAAAGGCAAAAAATAATAAATCAAAACGTTAGATTTTCATAATTTGAATGTTAGCATAATCCGCGACTGTTTCGAATGGGCCCAACTCTCCTGCGTTCAGGTTGATTGACATTTTCACATAGTTTCCAGTTGGACCCTTGGCAAGTGTCGATGAATTTATGAAGACACTTCCATTCACTTTCT